GTGGAACTTCCTTCCTCAATCGGATATGCAGCTAATCTTCAGATATTAGATCTCAGTTATTGTTCAAGTCTGGTGGAACTTCCTTCCACGATTGGCAATGCAACTAATCTCCAAGATTTGAAACTTAGATGCTGTTGCTCTTTGGTGGAATTCCCCTCTTCTATTGGAAACCTTCATAGATTGATGAGGTTTAATTTGGAGGAATGCTCAAAGTTAGAGGTTCTTCCGACCAACATCAACTTGGAATCTCTCGACGAACTCAGTCTCACTAATTGCTCGTCGCTAAAAAGTTTTCCTGAAATTTCCACAAACATTGAATATCTCAAGCTAACCGGAACTGCAATAGAAGAAGTTCCTTCATCGATCAGGTTGTGGTCTCGTCTTAAGGGATTGCATATGTCATACTCTGAAAACCTTAAGGAATCCCCACATGCTTTTGACAAAATCACAGAGCTTCACTTGAACGATACAAGAATTCAAGAGCTTAGTCCATGGGTCAAGGGATGCTCTCGTCTACGTCGACTTGTGCTGAACGGAATGGAGAATCTGGTATCACTCCCACAGCTTCCGGATTCCCTACAAGTCCTAGATGCAGAAAACTGTAAGTCACTAGAGAGATTAGATTGCACCTTTCGCAATCCAGATATTCGTTTCAACTTTCGAAACTGCTTCAAACTAAATGAAGAAGCGAGAGATGTCATCATTCAGGCATCAGCAACTCGTGAATTTTCGGTCTTACCCGGTGGAGAAGTGCCTGCGTGCTTCACTTACCGAGCTCCTGGGAGTTCCGTACCAGTGGAGTTGAATGAAAAGCCTTTTCGTACATCAACAAAATTTAAGGCATGCATCTTGTTCGTTAACACTGGAAAAGATGAATCTTATGATCGGCTATGTTTGACAGTGTACTGTACCATCACGTCCAAACAGAATGCTCGCACTCGTTGTAGATGGAGCAGCTGGAAACTGTATCCATTTATGACGAAGCACCTGTACATCTTCGACCTTAAAGCAGAGGAGGTGACTTCCACCGAGCTTGTTTTGGGGTGCAAGATCCAAGGTAAAACTGACACTGACCAATATAAGATAAAAGAATGCGGGGTACTCCAACTCTAGGAGCTTCAAGTTGATGATCAAGATTATGATGAGAGCTTCAGAGGTGGCGAAGAAGAGAGATAGTAACCTCGAAGATTGATGAATGCTGGATACTTTGATCCCTTCATGTTTTTGAACATTATGAGAGGTGAGGATGTGAAGATGGAGACATTGAGATCCCAGACAAACCATTATAACAAAAGTCGACAAAGAAGCATCGGCACAATATCATTGCAGGGACGAAGAAGAGCAGGGAAACTAACCACCTGCTTGTTCGTGAAGACGAGGATAGGTGAAAACTTGCTTGTTTTGTGATTTTGTCTCATATTGACTATATGTCTTAATAAATTTTGCTTCTACGTTCCCATTTCTATTTGTAAACTGGAAATGTGTGTGTAAAAGCCTAAAGGTGTTCCCATTTCTGAAATTGATAACTGCAGGACAAAGAAAGACAGAGAAGATGGAGCCATTTCTTTAGCAAATTTTTGGCTCTGAACTTCA